TATGTCTTGAACAAACTAGAAATGTGTCCATAGGACACGGTGCCCACACACTCGATCGATTTGTCAATGTTATGTCTCTAGGTCAAATTTTTTTTTGGCTACAGGTGCCCAAGTTGAAAACTAAAAATCTTTTTTTAAGTACAGGGCAAATACTACAAATACTGAATAAAGCCACAACAAAATCCAAAGGTGCAGAAGTACACATGCTGACCACTATTCTTGTAGATTTTTAGGCCTACAGGTCATAAATTTTTTGAGTTTCGTGCAATACAAGTTAAATATTGTAAATTTTTACTAAGTCAAGGGCGATAACTCTAAAAATACTAAAAATATCCACACGAAAATACCCAGGTGCACAACTTCAAATGCTGATCAACGTTCCTGTAAGGTTTCATGACTTTAAAGGTCAAATATTTTTTGAGTTATGTGCGACACAAGATAAATGAGGGACAATAGTGGATTATCTTCCCTTGATAAAAACCGAGGTTAACCAAAATGTAAGTAGGTCCAAATATTTGGAATCCTTTGCTTTTATCGTTGAGTTTTATGTAAGACAGGTTGATATGTTTTAATAAATTATTTCCACATGCATCAACAAATATGTAAACAATAAGAAAAAAATGTTTCATTTATGTCAACAGATTCTACATCTTATCGCAATATTTAATCTGAATATTACAAATGATAATAATTAGCCCTAATTAATTCAGTTTGCTACAAAGAAATAGGCGATAAAGTCCGAGTAATCCAATTGCTTAGGACCTATCTATTTATAGGGAGTACTCAGGGGAGGTTATTCACTAATGTCCCCCATTGTAAATGTTTACTCATTCATGGGCAATAACTCTAAAAATACTTAATATATTCACATGAAAATACCCAGGTGGACAACTTCACATGCTGAGCAACATTCCTGTAAGGTTTCATGACTCTAGGTAAAATATTTCTTGAGTTATGTGCGACACAAGTTAAAAATTGGAAATTTTTACTAAGCCAAGTTTCATGAGGTTTCATGACTCTTGGTCAATTACTTTTTGGGCTACATGTGACACAAAAAGGAACAGACGGACGGAAGGACTGACGGATGGATGGACGGACAAGGGTAAATCTTAATTCCCCCCCCTATAGGAATAAAGGGCCATATCTATTGTTATTTTCTTTTATTCAATAGAGGGCCATGGCCCCTTATCTTATTGTTACAAAATGAATTCTATTGTTCTCTTTTGTTCTGTTTACAGTTAGATGGCCCCCTATCCCTATTCGATAGTGAAGACAGACGGACAGAAAAAGAGCGACTATATGCTTCCCCAAAATTTTTCGGGAAGCATAAAAATATCTAAATAATCTTATGATTACAAGAGCAATCAGTAATCACATGTGTCGCCTCATGATGGCCAATTTCATGTTGGGACAAAATTTTTTGACAGACAGACGGACAATGCACAACTAGACTTGGTAATGATAATTCCTGTAAAGTTTGGATAAAATTGCACCAGTAGTTTATGAGGAGTAGTCTGGACAAGCTTTTGCGTATCTGGCAACACACAGAAAAAACACCTTTTTATCAAAGGGCCATAACTCGGCCAAAAATCATTCAACCGGAAAACCCGTGCATTATGTGTAAGGACTTGAGCTACAGATCAATCCTGTAAAGTTTCATTGAAATTGCTTCAGTGGTATAAGAGAAGTAGTCTGGACAAACTTTAGAAATAAAAGTTATTTAAGGGCCATAACTCTGACAAAAATCATTGAACTGGAAAATGCTGACAATATGCACAACTAGACTTGGTACTGATCATTCCTGTAAAGTTTGGATGAAATTGCACCATTAGTAAATGAGGAGTAGTCCGGACAAGCTTTTGCGTATCTGGCAACACACAGAAAAAACAACTTTTTTATCAAAGGGCCATAACTCGGCCAAAAATCATTCAACCGGATAACCCTTGCAATATGCGCAAGGACTTGAGCTATAGATCAATCCTGTAAAGTTTCATTGAAATTGCATTAGTGGTATAAGAGAAGTAGTCCGGACAAACTTTAAAATTAAAAATTATTAAAGGCCCATAACTCTGCCAAAAATCATTGAACCGGAAAAATGCTGACAATATGCACAACTAGACTTAGTACTGATCATTCCTGTAAAGTTTGGATGAAATTGCACCAGTAGTTTATGAGGAGTAGTCCGGACAAGGTTTGTGACGGACAGACATACGGACAGACGGACAGACAGACGACGGAGAAGTGATCCCTATATGTCGCCACTACTCCGTAGAGACGACACAATCCCTATATGTCGCCACTACTCCGTAGAGGCGACACAATCCCTATATGTCGCCACTACTCCGTAGAGGCGACACCAAAATCACGCTAAAGCTGGATCCCAGCATGAATTTCTGCAATAAATTCTATAAATTTTGGTTTGAAGCGTAAATGTATCTATATATGTTGAACGAAATTCCAAAGCCGAAAGAATCACCAAGTAATTTTGAAACAAGTTATGTGACTTGAACAAACCATGGACGTTACAATAACAGCTTTTGATGATATTGTATGATTCAAACAAATCTAAGTCATTCATTTGACATGTTCTTTAGCGCTTCCAAAGTTCACTGTGACAATTATTGTGAAATCTTTACGCTCTAATCTCATCCTAGTGGTTAGAAAACCATTATAATTTACAATACTTTATAATGAGAAAACGTTTGTTCCTGTGACTTCCTAATGTATTCATTTAGAAGACATTTACAGAATGATGGATAAAAAGTTCAAAATTAAAAAAAATGGAAATTTGCCTGTGAATTTTAAAAATTTTAGCTTTTGAAGACACTCTATATTTACAAACAGCTGTAACCTTTATTGAAATGTTTGACACATACCCGTAGTGCTTTTGCAATAGCATAAAACATGAAAATTGGTCGGCCATGTGTATAATTTGACGTGGCGTAAATTCGCGGTATACAAACTTAGTGCGAAGTCACGCTAAATATTAGCATTACAGTAAAACTACCTCAATGAAAAATGATTCTGATTCTTTCCCCTCCTTCAGTACATAACAAAAACCCAAAGTACTGAATCAATGTTAAAGAAAATTCACTAAATTGTATTACTAAAAAAAAATTATTTCATGCTTTGTGTTAAATTATATTTGATAAACTAGAAATGTGTCCATAGGACACGGGTGCCCCCCACCGCGCCACTGTTCTGTCAATCTTTTTACTAAGTCAAGGGAAATAACTCTACAAATACTGATTAAATCCACAAGCGAAACCCCAGGTGCAAATCTAAATATGCTGAGCAACCTGCCCATAAGGTTTAATGACTTATAATGTCAAATCCTTTTTGAGAAACTTGCGACTTAAGTTGAAAATTGCAAAAATTTTCTAAGTGAAGGGCAATAACTCTAAAAATACTAAATAAATCCAGACGAAAATACCTGGTACACAACTGCACATGCTGATCAACATTCCTGTAAAGTTTCATGACTCTAGGTCAAATACTTTTTGAGTTACGTGCGGCACAAGTTGAAAATTGCCAAATTTTACTAACTCAAGGGCAATAACTCTGAAAATACTAAGAAAATCCACACGAAAATACCCAGGTGCACAACTACACATGCTGATCAACATTCCTGTAAAGTTTCATGACTCTAGGTAAAATACTTTTTGAGTTACTTGCGACACAAGTTGAAAATTGCAAAATTTTACTAAGTCAAGGGCAATAACTCTGAAAATACTAAAAATATCCAGACGAAAATACCCAGGTGCACAACTTCACATGCTGATCAACATTCCTGTAAAGTGTCATGACTCTAGGTCAAATACTTTTTGAGTTACGCGCGACACAAAAGTGAACGGACGGACGGACAAGGGTAAATCTAAATGCCCGCCACTAACGTGGGGGCACAAAAATAAGATATATTCAGGGCTACAGATAACATTTTGTATATACATGTATTGGGTAATTAGACTAATTAACCCTTGTTTGTGATCTTTGTGAGTTTTTTTCTATTTTCTTAGAGTTATTTCTGTATTTTTTTACCCTACCCCTCTCTAACCAATTTGGGTTATAAAGCACAAGTTTATGTATTTTACCCAAAATTTCTGACCTTCATTGTAGATTTTTGTAGGTTTTGTATGGTAATAAAAATGCTACTTACTACTATGCTTGATGGTTTATTGGCCTAGGAGATTTCAAAGCTGCCTGATATAATTTAAAGGTTAAAACAGTTTGAAACAGCATGATCTACCATCTGCGATAAGTATAATTTACGTCATTACGCACCAGTTCAAATGTAGTTTGCATAAATAAGAATTAATTTAATCATTTTACCCTTAGTTATTATTTCTATTGCGTTTTTTGACATTTTAATTGGGTACTAACGCAAATACGCATGCTATCTGCAGCCCTGATATTACTGTTTTATTATGTATGCATGTGTTTATGTTATTTGAATTAATCTCTGTCCCTAAGCAGAAGATTATAGCATACAATTTTATATTTGAATAACTGCCAAACGTGATAATATTGCAAAATAAATTAATAGATAAATAAATTATAATAAAAATATAATGAAAAAAAATAATAAGAGGAAGAAAAAATTAAATTTAACTGTTTTTTACTGTATTTGGTATACGAATATGTGACAACTGAGATACACGTTATACTGTGTCCGGCGTGTGTGTGTTTGTGTTTGTTTACCCTGGCCACCGAAAAAAAGACCATATGGGCAAGCAAACTCTACTCTGTTTAGCCTTAATGAAGTTGCTTTATATACCGAATATCTGGTAAAATAATAATGTTAATATGGAAGCTCAAAAATTGCAAATGGCAGCCATATTGTTTAGTTGTAAAAATTAGCACAAAAATTAAAACTTTCAATTTAAGTATTCTGAGGTACATTTGTAAAAAAAAACTGGTAAGGTATTGGTGCTTTACCTATAAAGAAGCTGTTACATTGCCTAAAAAGAAAAAGAAAATTAAAATAAAGACAAAAGCCTTACCTGATTCAATTTGCAGCACATGAAACTTGTATGTCAAAATAAAAAAAGTTCCTTCCAATGATGAATATGTGATATGTATATGAAAACTTTAAAAGTGACATCTATTTTAGTGACAATGAATCTCCATTACCTGAAAAAAATATTTATTAAGTGAAAATTTATATTCCAATAAGGCCAGTAAACACAGCATTATCTATGTTTACATACATTTGTAGCATGTATACAAAAGTACTTAGTAGTCCAAGGTTAAGAATGGTGTACTATTACATGTATTATGGACATGTTTTACTGTTAAAAAAAACTTACTGCAATTATCCTTAAGGTAAACAGGATAATATACATACTTGAAAATTTGTCATTATAATAAATTAAAACATGACTTTCTTGCACAATTAATTAAACATAAAAGCCATTAATTCAGAAAGTGGACATTATTATAGTATCCATTGCATTCAACAGCTGTTGTAATATCATTTTAATATTAAAAATGATTGTAAGCAAATTATTATATTATGATATTATGCAAAATGTTATTTAAATAATTCTTAACTAGAACTATCACTAAATGTGATTAATACCCCCACAAGACTGCTTCGGAAATGAGGATGTTAAAAGTAACAGAATACCTTGTAAAAGAATTGAAATATAAGAGTTATGGTTGTGGGCAATTAAAGATAGTTGTGGTTCTTATATGTTGCATTTCCTTTCAATGTGGTTGGCCATTGATGAAGTTTAATTGAATTACTCTGTAATAAGTCCAGAAAGACAAAGAAAAGGAACAAAGGGCAATAACTCTATAAATACTGAAGATAGAGTTATAGTTCTTATGCACTGCACTTCCTCTTATTGTGCTTGACCATTGTATGGAGTTATTTTGAATTCCAACCAGTACGTTTTAAGTTATGCTCCTGACAAGGAAAAGTATCAAAGGGCAGTAACTCTGTATTTTGTCAAAATGGAGTTATGGCTCTTGTGCACTGCACTTCCTTTTAATGTCCTTGACAACTGTATGAAGTTGTATTGAATTCCAACCAGTAGTTTTCAAGTTATGCTCTGAACAAGGAAAGGTAACAAAGGGAAATTACTCTGTAATTAGTCAAGATAGAGTTATGGTTCTTATGCACTGCACTTCCTCTCAATGTGCTTGACCATTGTATGTATTTATATTGAATTCAAACTATTAGTCTTCAAGCTATGGTCCGGACAAAAAAAAGCAATGGAAAAGTAACAAAGGGCAATAACTCTGTAACTACTTTAGATAGAGTTATGGTTCTTGTGCACTGCACTTCCCCTCATAGTGTTTGACAATTGTATGAAGTTGTTTTGAATTCCAACCAGTAGTTTTCAAGTAATGCCCCAAACAAGGAAAAGTAACAATGGGCAATAACTCTATAATTAGTAAAGATAGAGTTATGTTTCTTATGTACTGCACTTCCACTCAATGTGCTTGACCATTGTATATAGTTATATTGAATTCCAACCATAAGTCTTCAAGTTATGGTCCGGACATTGTCAAAAAATCAATGGAAAAGTAACAAAGGGCAATAACTCTGTAATTACCTTGGATAGAGATATGGTTCTTGTGCACTGCACTTCCCCTTATTGTGTTTGACAATTGTATGAAGTTGTTTTGAATTCCAACCAGTTGTTTTCAAGTTATGCCCCGGACATGGAAAAGTAACAAAGGGCAATAACTCTGTAATTAGTAAAGATAAAGTTATGGTTCTTGTGCACTGCACTTCCTCTCTATGTGCTTGACCATTGTATGTAGTTATATTGAATTCCAACCATTAGTCCTCAAGTTATGCTCCGGACAAGGAAAATGCAACGGACGTCTGGACCGACCGACCGCCCCACCCACCGACCACCGGGTGACTCCTATATACCCCCCCCAAACTTTGTTTTTGGGGGTATAAATACAATTCTTAAATAAAACTAGAACTGTGTTCAAAGGACACTGGTGCCCCCACTGACAACATATATATGGTATATAGTGAAAAAATCAACAAAGGGCCATAATTCTGTTAAATTTGGTAGCAGCAAAAATTCCTTCCTTTACTTCCATCTACACATTAAGATTGTTCATCCCTGGAAGTTTAAGCAAAATCTGCCATCCGATTTAAGAGGAGTTGCGTTCACAAAATTTCTATATGGTATTGTTTGGTTTTATTAACCTGTCAATTACATACTGATTACACGGTCGATGCACACAGTATATTAATCTTCGGTAGATGTTCGGTAAGTTCCGTGAGATGTACGCTGTACAATGGAATTTAATTTAATTTGTATCTCTAAACTAAGTGTACTCAGCGTTATAGGGTAAATCATGAGTTTATAATCTAAGTGCCACACGTGTTTGCTCATTTATTTTAATGGTATGCAAAAGTATTCTTTTACAAGAACTGTCGGAGGACAGTAAGGCTTGACTATTCGAAAAAGTTGTCACAAGAGTGTTTTATTGAGTATAATAATGCTTACCTATGAATACATAAAATTGACCAAAAAGGTACAAAAGCTTGTTATTAAGATGTTTTATCAAGAAATCACTGCCTTATTATCATGAATGCATTAAATTTTCCCAAAAAAGGCACAGACACTTCAGTAGATATCGAGATAAAAGCTTACAAGAAGGGAAGAAAAATAGCCTAATTATTGATCTTGGTCAGTGACTTACAATTATGACCCTAAATGCATAATAAATATCTTTAATATATATTGAGATATGTAAAACTTGCATGTAAACTTTAACCAAGTAGAAAAGGGAAGATAAATCAGCCTAAGTACAAGATAGAGTTATGGAACTTGGTCAGTGACATACAATTTTGACCCTTCATGCATATGTGAAGTTTCAAATCAAAATCTCTGATAGTTAATGAGATATGTAAAACTTACATGTAAACATAAACCAGGAGACTACATGTAAGTAAACAAGAGGGCCATGATGGCCCTGAAATCGCTCACCTGTATATAGGCCCCCCGGGCGGGGCTAATTTTAACCCAGGGGCTTTTATTTGAACAAACTTGGTAGATCCCCATTTGAAGATGTTTCATGATAAATATCTAAGCTCTAGCTCTAAGAAAATCTTTAAGTTTTTACTAAACACATATAGTGAAAAACAATGACCCACACCCTCTGTGCGGGCCAATTTTGTCGCCAGGGCTTTTATTTGAACAAACTTGGTAAACACTCACTAGAAGATAATTCATGCTTAATATCTAAACTCTATCTCTTTGGGTTTTTCAACAGAACATTTTTTCAGTTTCTATTATATACATAAAAGGAAAATCAATGATCCCGGGGCCAGGCCAATTTTTTAACCCCAGGGCCCTTAATTTAACAAAAATTGGTAGACACCCATTAGAAGATGTTTCATGCTAAATATCTTAGCTCTAGCTTTTAAGATTTTTTAAAAGAAGATTTTTTATGTTTTAACTATATACATAAAAGGAAAAACAATGACGCCCTGGGGTGGGGCCAATTTTGACCCCAGGGCTTTTATTTGAACAAACTTGTTAGACACCCACTAGAAGAGGTTTCATGCTTAATAGCTAAGCTCTAGCTCTTTGGGTTTTTTAAAAGAAGATTTTTTAAGGTTTTACTATATGCATATAGGGTAAATCAATGACCCCTGGGGCGGGGCCAAATTTGACCCCAGTGCTTTTATTTGAACAAACTTGGTAGAGACCCATTAGAGGATGTTTCATCCTAAATATCTTAGCTCTAGCTCTTTGGGTTCTTTAAAAGAAGATTTTTTAAGGTTTTACTATATGCATATAAGGAAAATCAATGACCCCCTGGGGCGGGGCCAATTTTGACCCCAGGGCTTTTATTTGAACAAACTTGGTAGACACTGACTAGAAGATGTTTCATGCCAAATATTTAAGCTCTACCTCTTTGGGTTTTTTAAAAGAAGATTTTTTAAGGTTTTACTATATGCATATAGGGTAAATCAATGACCCCCTGGGGCGGGGCCAATTTTGACCCCAGGGCTTTTATTTGCACAAACTTTGTAGACACCCATTAGAGGATGTTTCATGCTAAATATCTTAGCTCTAGCTCTTTGGGTTCTTTAACAGAAGATTTTTTAAGGTTTTACTATATGCATATAGGAAAAATCAATGACCCCCTGGGGCGGGGCCAATTTTGACCCCAGGGCTTTTATTTGAACAAACTTTGAAGACACTGACTAGAAGATGTTTCATGCCAAATATCTAAGCTCTACCTCTTTGGGTTTTTTAAAAGAAGATTTTTTAAGGTTTTACTATATGCATATAGGGTAAATCAATGACCCCCTGGGGCGGGGTTAATTTTGACCCCAGGGCTTTTATTTGAACAAACTTGGTAGACACCCATTAGAGGATGTTTTATGCTAAATATCTTAGCTCTAGCTCTTTGGGTTCTTTAAAAGAAGATTTTTTAAGGCTTTACTATATTATGCATATTGGGAAAATCAATGACCCCCTGGGGCGGGGCCAATTTTGACCCCAGGGCTTTTATTTGAACAAACTTGGTAGACACTGACTAGAAGATGTTTCATGCCAAATATCTAAGCTCTACCTCTTTGGGTTTTTTAAAAGAAGATTTTTAAGGTTTTACTATATGCATATAGGGTAAATCAATGACCCCCTGGGGCGGGGCCAATTTTGACCCCAGGGCTTTTATTTGAACAAACTTGGTAGACACCCATTAGAGGATGTTTCATGCTTAATATCTTAGCTCTAGCTCTTTGGGTTCTTTAAAAGAAGATTTTTTAAGGTTTTACTATATGCATATAGGGAAAATCAATGACCCCCTGGGGCGGGGCCAATTTTGACCCCAGGGCTTTTATTTGAACAAACTTGGTAGACACCCATTAGAGGATGTTTCATGCTAAATATCTTAGCTCTAGCTCTTTGGGTTCTTTAAAAGAAGATTTTTTAAGGTTTTACTATATGCATATAGGAAAAATCAATGACCCCCTGGGGCGGGGCAAATTTTGACCCCAGGGCTTTTATTTGAACAAACTTGGTAGACACTGACTAGATGATGTTTCATGCCAAATATCTAAGCTCTAGCTCTTTGGGTTTTTTAAAAGAAGATATTTTAAGTTTTTTCTTTCGGTTGCCATGGCAACCAGAGTTCTGCATGGATTTAAATTCTTTGAACAATTTTTAAAGGTGACCACCAAAGGAACATTCCTGTGAAGTTTGGATGAAATTGGCCTAGTGGTTTATGAGGAGATGTCATTTAAAGTAAAAGTTTACGGACGACGGACGGACGGACGCCGGACGAAAAGCGATCACAAAAGCTCACCCTGTCACTTTGTGACAGGTGAGCTAAAAAGGGGGAGATAAATCAGCCTTTATACATGACACAGATATGAATGCTGTTCAGTGATCATTTTTCATGACCACAAATATAAATATGAAGTTTCAAGTTTGTATCTTTAATAGTTTCAGAGATATGCAAAACTTGCATGACCAAGAAAAGGAGATTTTTTAGTACAAAAGGGAGCACAATTCAGTCAAAATACATGGCAGAGTAGTGAATCTTGAGATATGACCTTCAATTATGACCCTTAGTACATGTGTAAAGTTTAAAATAAATATCTTTGAAAACCTTTAACCAAAATTTATAAGTTTCAAAGGGGCAAATAATTCTGCAAATATTGCAGGCAGAGTTATGCAACTTTGCAAACTGATGTAAATTGTTACTATAAAAAGCCTTAAAGGTATTGTAAATTTCAATTGAATATCTCAAGCAATAACTGAGATATTTGACTTTACAAAAAACTTATACCAATATTTCTAAGTTAAAAGGGGCATAATTATGTAAATATTGTAGGAGGAGTTATCCAACTTGTCAATAAAATGTACATTGTTACTATAAATAAGTATGATAATCTCAAGCAGTAATTGAGATATTTGACTTTACAAAAAACTTTAACCAAAGCAGACGCCAACGCTGACATGGACACCGACACTGGGGCGACTACATTAGCTCACATATTCTTTTAAAACATTGTGGTCGAGCTAAAAATAGTTAACAAAAGTTACTTTGAGAACACCTTACAAGTGGTTATAGTCTATAAAGGCAATAATATGAGTTTATAATCATCATGATATGAAAGGATTGCATGCACTGCCCAATATTTATTTAGCATTTGTTTTATAGTACACAGTAGGGAAGTACATGTACTTAAATTAACAAAACAGCTACATTCAAAAATTCTAAAATTCAATTAAGGGTTCATTGAAAATTCTAAACATCATTGAAAATACTTATTTATACATGTATTCAGTGCAATCTAATGCTAGATACCAAATGTACTTAAAAACACGTTTCAATTGTCCCTTTCCATGATATAACAAACAAAATTACCTGTTTATTAAGACCACCTGACTTTAAACACCACTTTTCATGTTTTTTCCTTAGTGGTATTTCCTGGACAAATTGACTGCTCTTAGAAGAGTACACCTTGGTGATATTTGTTATATAACCTAAGTCTTTGAAAATCTTACTTATATATAGTTATAAACAATAAAATAAATCACCTTTTACTTGATTGTGTTGGCATGAAAGCAATACAATATAAATATCTGTGTCTGTCCTAATCTGAGTATTCGCGTCTATTTGGTCCAATTTATCAACTGAACTTCTCTTAGAGTACTGTTTTCCGATCTCTTGCATGATGTATCAGAAAACTGTAAAATATAAAATTGATAGATTAGGAAACAGATACAGATTTCAATAAATATAATCAATTTAGTTTTATACATAGAAAATTATTACATAGGATGATATATATGTAAGCACATATAAATATTTTGAAAAAAAAATACTAGCATAAGAAATGAGTAGCACATTTATTTGGAACATATCCATGGTAATTCATGTTTTCTTATTCCAGATAGAGTACTAAATCTTGCAACTGCTAATTCAGGTAACATGTGTGTGAAATAAAAAGCTTTTAATTTCAGAATCATTACTTCTCTCCATAATTCTGTATCACAGTTTATGCGTTGAATAAACATATCATGTGGATTTACTCTTTGAATTATTAGATCACACCATTTGTAATTCATAATATTCATCTGACTTTGTATTTGGTAAAAATATTTATGATTTTTTTTTCAGTTGAATTATGCCATTTTGCACTGACAAGCAAAGGGCTTTATCATTTTCTGCAGATTCTTTGATCATTGCTTTTTTGTTCTGTAATAAAGTCTTAATTTCAATGAGACCTTCAGGACCTTTGGATCCAACCACTACACCATCCCTGGAGGCTGCTAAAAAAGGATTCTCTTTGCAAACTATTAGACCCGGAATATCAATTTTGTACTTTAGATTTTCTTCTTTCTCTTTCAAAATAATGTACTCAATTCTTGCATTATCTTCTTCACAGGGGGACATATTAATTGAATTTGCATATTATTAATAATTGATAAAAGATGGTAAAGCACATTTTTTGCTGTATTTTCAATATCACTTAACAGAAGTTTTACCTTATATAATGGTGATTATATTTGTCATTTAAGGTAAGTGACCTTGACCTTTGACCTTGTGACCCCAAAATCAATAGAGGTCTTCTACCCAATATGGACAATCATCCTATGAAGATTGAATATTGTGGGCCGAATGTAACTTTAACTATGCTCCAGAAACCAAATTTCTAACGGACGGACATACAGATCTTCTAACACGAGAGTAATAATGTGGCTTCTCTATTGTTCTCTCTATTGTTCTTTTTAGTCACACAAAAAAATAGCCAAATAAAAGCATTACGGAATGAATAGGATCAAAGAGAATTTACTGTTACCTATTGTCCCTCTAGCCACATAAGTATCCATATGTTAGCTCGGACAGACAGACAGACGCCAGGGGGTATAACATAATATATGCCCAAAATTCTTTCGGGCTTAAAAAAATAAGCATTTTATTTCATCAATGCTTCTCAATATTTTATCACAAGTAAAAAAAAATATAAATCTGTATTATACAGCTAAATGTTAAATAATCTATAATCTAGATATTGTACATTTGTTTTGGCCACTTGATGTTATTCCGACAATGTAACCACCACATACTGGAAATAGATCAATGTAAAGCATATATTCACGAATTCGAAGACCTAGCTAAATGCCATTTTCAGGTACTTTCTGTACATAGTTTTGGGTAATTCACCTATTCTGTACATAGCTTTGGGTAATTCACCTAAAGGGGGTATGACTTATTTTCAAACACATCAAGTCTTAGACTTTTCACCTTAAACGGCAGAATATTGATATAAAAATAGAAATATCATGTAATAGTGTTATGTAGTTCATTTGATGTAATTCCCGACAGCTTAATCCGTAACGTACCGGAAAACAGAGTTTAGCTAGGTTTTCGAAAAGGTCAATAACAAACAAAGACATAGCCTACATATGTATACTATTTCCGACCTTGAAAGTAGGCTTGATTCTTAGTAAAAGTATTTAGCTAGGAGTGTTGGAATATGTGCATTTAGCCTTTTGTATGTAATGTATTCTCTATTTCGTGTAGCGGCTGTAAAACGATGTGTTGCTAAATTCTATCTCTTTTACTTTTTAATTATAAAAGATTGTGATAAAGTAAACTTTAAACAGTACAGAAAATAATCTTAATTTTAACTTGATAGATCTAGTACATAATTACACATAGCATTACATTATTTAAACAATGATCATATACATATAAAGTACTATTTCACCACTAAATATATAAATTAAACCTTTTTACCTGAACTATTCTATTGAAACAAATTGTAACACAATGATTTTTTGGCAGGGTTAATGACGATCATTTATCAAAGGGAAATAACTATGTGTAATCAATACACACAGCAATAATCAAAGTGCTGAAAGCACTGATGGGGGCCCAAAAAATCTGGAATCGGAAGCATCCTTATTTTCTTTTTTCTTTCTTTCTTTCTTTTTTCTTTCTTTCTTTCTTTTCTTTCTTTTCTTTCTTTCTTTCTTCTTTTATTTAATTATTCGTTCTTTTTTAAACTTTTTTATTCAGTTGATGTAGATCTATCCAGAGACATAGATAACATTATCTATGTCTCTGATACTGCCAAGCCCTCTTACGAGTGTTAAAGGCAGGAATTTAATAAGTGCACGTCGGATTGTTAGGAAAAGGTGAAAAGAAAAGCTAAACAAGAAAAGTCCAAACATTGACATGCTTATAAGGTGAGACTGAGAATGTATTCTAGTCATGGTTAAAATGTTAATAGTGAAACAAGATGATAAAGAAAAAATAGTTTAAAAACACTAAGCGGATGAATGAAAAAGAATATTAAAATGACAAAAAACTACTCATACAATATTTGAATGGTATTCATCTAGTACAGACCATTACAAACACATGTATATGTTTACATTGAGATATGGGAACCAGACTAGATATGATATTGGAACAAATATATGCTAGGAACAAGACTTCATTCGAGGGCGCGTGCACGCGCCGTCTAGTAGATATGCATTTGTCCGTATAGCAATGGGGAAACATTTAGACTTGATTTTGTGCATTTTTTTTTTTATCAAAATCACATTGTTTTCAAATTTTCTTATAAAAATAGCTTTTCTGATGTACAACATGTCACAGAGCTTTACTATCAGAAAGGCGGTTCTCCTTTAACCCTTAGTTCAGCACAGACCCGTCTATAGTCTAATGACGGGCAGAGAACCAAAGGTATCACTAAAATACGTATCGGAGATTATTTTTATCATACCTAGATTCTAGGCGAATATGCAATCTTTTATTTATTCAAGTAGTTTTTTTAGACTTTTATAAATAAGACCACAATACGTAACAAATATTTGATTATATATATCAATTTATTCATAACTATTATTTGATATTACAGACATATTTTCGCTATTTGTAAAATAACAGACAGTTCGTCCTTAAAATCACTCGATCATTATGCAGTTCGAACCAATATTTAAATTGCCATATTCTCGGCACACATTGTCATGAATTTATTTTAATTTTACCAATGATTTCCATTTCACTTGTTATCCAATTCATTTTGCTTCGACCAGACGTTTCAATCTTTGTTGCAACAGACAAACATTTCAGAATTTCACACACATACCAAGAACATGGAGAAAAAAATTATTTAGTGCTCTGGATGTTCAGCTGTAATATAGAACGATTTTCAATTCTGATTTGTACATTAGCTGTGACGGTTCGCATCATTTGACGACGTCTTTGATGTTCAGCATCAACATTTAACTTGTATAGATATGATATTGGATAATTCAGCAGTACGAGGGTTTTATTCTTATTTTTTAGAAATGTCATGCAAATTACTTTAGTCATTAACTCCCTTTCAAATAGCGATGCAAGCAAAACCTGAATGTTAAAACTATGCATAAAGTCAAGGTGAGTTAGTTTTTTCAATTTAACTAGAATTTGTTACATGTACAATTTATGTTGCATATGAATCAGTCCACCTTGTTAAGGCCTGTTTTTCCTTTATTCACTTCTTGATTATACTGTAACAAAAATAGTAGCTAGGTTCATCATAGAGTTTAACTTTACTTCATTTACTAAATTAGTAACTCTATTGTAATTGATTTCTCGAATTTATTCTCAATTAACACGTGAACAATTCCTAAACTACATTTCTTTATTCCATATTCAATGCCATGCAATGAAACGATACAACAAGTTAAAAAACTAGTCGTTAATAATTTGTAATGATACTTTGCATGCTAACTTTCAGGCACATGTTTCTGAAATTTCTTAGACCGTTGTAAAATCAAGACAAACAATTAAGGAATAAGGTTCTTTACCAAATTATGTTCATGAATGGATTAACAAAAAGTAAATATCAAAATGGTTATTCATTCAACTGTCTGTCTGTCTTTCTTTCTTTCTTTCTTTCTTTCTTTAATTCTATCTTTCATTGCATTCCATTCCATTCTTTCTTTGACTGGATAATGGATATACGGGAGAAAAGAGCCTAAAGAACATAAATATGACACTAAACATTAGCCGAGTAATGCAAAATGTTATTGACGACAAGTTCATAAGAAAAGAATAACGTAAGTAAGATTACATCAGCCGTTCAACGCGATATAAAGTAATGAACATATGAGGTAACTTAAGCGGTCTCACTTTAAACTCAAAGAACCTCGATGAGATAAGCTTAATTCAATCTATGATAATTCAACATCTGTCAAAAGTTCAAAGGAGGAAGATGAAAATATTAAGAGGAAAAGAAAAATGAAAACCTACCAAGAGTTTGTGACAGGTATATTTCAAAATATTATTGGAAATACAGTGATCTTATTACCCTTGATTTTATAATGAAATTAACGAAGCCATTTTTATCAAATAGATATATAGGTACACGAAACTATATGGTTAAAACTAAATTAAAAAAAAATAATAAGCCTCTTTTTGTTTAATTAGTTGGAGAGTTTTGTAAGAATTTCATTTAATTGTAATATATAAAAGTGATTCATTTCTTGCAATTGTAACTGATTATTTGATTTTTTAAATTTCAGATAGTGTGATGAGATGTCAGGTTGGAGACGGTAAATATTCAGATTATGATATGCTTAAAGTATGCTCCAGATCGCCATAGTGGAGGAGGACAAAAGAAGAATGCTGATTAAGATAAATGAACATTGCTTGTTTATAGTTATATCAAAATATTCAGAATATTGTTTCATTTAACATTCAGATCTAGATTCAGTTATAAATTACAAAGACAAATAAACAATCAGTAAGATAAATCGGGAATAAGCCTTGGTGATATAAGAAAAAAAACATGCATGGATGTTTAAGTGTTAATTTATATGAAGGATTTTGTTTATCTTAAACATTTAAGTTATTATAATACATACTGTCAAGTTTAATAGTTTCAAAAAATATTATGTAAATGTTGCATTAGTTATAGTACCACATTTTTTATTTTGTACATTTGATTCTGTGTTGAAAATAAATTGCTAAAATTGTAAGAATGTTTATTTGTTTACCCTATTAAAGAGCCTTAAAATGAAAAAAAGATCATATTCCAAAAAAGTTTTGAAGGTCAGAAAATTTGGTCCGACAAGGTTGGATTATGGTCAGAAAGAAAAGGTTGGATTATGACCAAAAAATGGTCAAAAAAGGGTTTTTGGTTTATGGTCAAATATTGGTTCAGAAAAAGGTGGATTTATGGTCAGGAAAAAGGTTGGGATTTAAAGGTCATTTTTAATGAAGTTTGTATTAGACCGTCGGTTTCCGACGTCTAAAAAAGGGTTTTCAAATCCAACCTTCTGGGCCAACGTTACCCAACGTCAAGGGTCTTAACCGCAGTTACAAACGTTTGGTACAACGTCTTTTGTTTGCCCGGGATATATTCAATGCCAATGACAAAAGAAACGATACAAAGTTAAAAAAAACTAGTCGTTAATAATTTGTTGATTATACCTTTGCATTGCTTAACTTTCAGGCACATTGTTTCTGAAAATTTTCTTAGACCGTTGTAAAAATCAAAGACAAACAATTAAGGAAGAAGGGGCTTGACCAAATTATGTTTCATGAATGGAATTAACCCAAAAAAGTAAATAATCAAAATGGGTTTATTCATTCAACTTTCTTTCATTCTTTCTTTCTTTATTCTAATCTTTTCATTGTTATTCCATTCCATTCTTTCTTTGACTGGATAATGGATATACGGGAAAAAAGAGCCTAAAGAACATAAATATGATACTAAACATTAGCCGAGTAATGCAAAATGTTAAATTGACGACAAGTTCATAAGAAAAGAATAACGTAAGTAAGATTACATCAGCCGATTCAACGCGAAATAAAGTATTTTAAATTTTAGGTAAATTATTAAGCGGTCTCACTTTTATAATACTCAAAGAACCTCGAAATGAGATAAGCTTAATTGCACAAATCACAATTACGTTTCTTTTAGCAGAATTTTTTTGCCTCATGTCTGATAAGACTTAGTCGATTAGAATATATAACACATTTCACAATTATTGTGTACGTTTCTCTCGCCAGCACGTTTTGCCATATATGGGGGAAAAAAAGTTTAAATATAATTAACTGAATGGGAAAAATTCTTTTATCACGGGATGCCCTTTATTTATTTTTTTCCCTTTCCCCAATGCAAGGGGAAAATAATTTTTTTTAAAAAAAAATACGGGGTCTTCAAAATTTTCCGATTAAAAAATAAAAGGGTATCAAAAAAATTTCACATTTATGTTTTTTTTTTTTTTTCTTTTTTTTTCCCTTTAAAGGGGTTATTTATTTTTTTTGAAAGTGCCCTTCTTTGAGAAAATGCTATTTCTCCATTTATGTTTTTTCTTTTCAGTAGTTTTTTATAAATTGTGGGGATCATTTTACTTTGTAAATGTAAAAATCAAACACAATTCACACTTTAATTTCTTATCACCAGTTGGGTGTATTGCCATATTGTGGTAAGTTTTATCGCCTAGAAAAATGCTTTTAAAATTCCATAACTTCACACTTAAATGGGATCCTTCACACCGGTAATGAATTGTATGTGTGTGATAAAGATTAAACTTCGTGAGAAAATGCTTTATCACAACCTCAAACATTTTAATGTTTTCCTTCTCGCAGTAATTATTTTCAATGTGTGTGATAAGAATTACT